ATACATAACTTTTGAAAACAATCTGTTGTCATAAACATTGTTTTGGGGTACCCACTATTTAAGGGGTGTGAATTGAGTATTGTCAAGTTTAAGGGCCCCCACTATACAGTATCAAAATCATAAAAGTCAAGGTCACCCACTGGGGAGCTGTTTATTTAACCATCAGACACGGAGAAAGATTAGAAAAGGGAAAATTCCTAATAAGTTGGAGGGAGTGTAGATTGGAACAGAGTCTAAAACTGGAAGGCAAATTGGCAATACCTATATCAAAAGCACTAAAATGTGCATATCCATTAATGAGAAATCCCATGTCCGCGAAAGAGGGGCATAGGCAACAAAACCATTAAACCAGATAATAGGACTTTTCTGAAGACGCATGGGCAAGAAACCCAACTACACCATCCTCCCTCCTCCTTCCAGACCTAGAGTCTGAAAGTCACACTGGCAAAAGCTGGGAACAAAAAGAAGTTGATCTGGCATGGGCAGCTTGACCTCGGGGACCCTACCAAGCACAGTTGAGCGTCATTTCACAGAAATAGAGTTCCAAGAACTGTAAGAGCCAACTTACAGCCAAGCCCCTTGCACGGCTCAGCAGATCCTAGGGAGAATGAGGTAAAAGCAAGAGCTCTTCAGTTGTCTCGTAACATGATAGAGACAGACTCCAAATGGGTCGGGCAAACCGCTCAGCGATGCAGTGATTTTCACTTTCCATTACAACAAAAGGGACATGGTTATTTTAAATTGATAAACTCAACTAGTCTGCGCATCGGGGACTGCTTTTTCTTGAACAGAAAAGTTACAGAGACAGTGCAGAGAGTTCTCACAGACCCTACACTCAGTTTGCCCAAGGTTAACATCTTAGGTTACTATGGTACATTTGTCACAACTAAGGAACCAACAATGATACGTTGCTATTAACTGCACACTTTATTCTTATTTCACTAGTTTTTCCCTAATGTCTTCTTTCTGTTCCAGGAACCTATCCAAGAGATCCCATTACCCATTTAGTCACCATGTCTCACCATGTCTTCGTAGCCTCTGGTCTGTAACAGTTTCTCAGACTTTCTTTGTTTTTGATGACCTGACAGCTTTGAAGACAATTAGTCAGGTATTTTTAAGAATGCCCCCCCCACCCCCGCCGCACCACCTTGGGGACAAAACCTTGCCTAATGTTTTTCTCTGATTACAGAGAAGTTAGGGATTTGGGGCAGGAGGACAACAAAGGTGAAGTGATAATTTCTTGACATCGTTATCACGGGTACATCTTGTCAACTTCACATCACAGATGCTGTTAGCTTTGACCACCTGGCCAAGGTAGTGTTTGCCAGGTTTTCCACCATAAACTTCCTTTTCCACCCCCTTTCCACACTCTGCTTTTTGGAAGTAAGTCATTAAGTGCAGCCACTCAAGGGGTGGGGAGTTAAACACCCACTCCTTGAATGGATGAAAATCTACATAAATTATTTAGAATTCTTACGTACGGGAAATTTGTCTCTACTCTCATTTATTTATTTGAGCATTTATTTATATCAGTATGGATTCACAGACATGTATTTTATATTTGGGGTTATATCCCAATGCTATGTTATTTATTTATTGTTCATACTGTCCCAGCTTTGGCCAACCTGAATTTGGGGAGCAAATTCAGGTTGGCTCTGGTAGGCTTTTTACATCCTTGTTTTCTGAACACTTCCTTACTCTGGTAGGCTTTTTACATCCTTGTTTTCTGAACACTTCCTTACTTTCTGCTTCTCCATATTTTTATTAGTGAAATGCCTTACTTAAGAAAAGGGTTGTGATGGGATGAATTTTGTGTTCCCCCTCCAACATACAAAAAAAAATTCACATTAAAGTCCTGGTTACCAGTACCTCAGAATGTGATGTTATTTGGGAATAGAGTCATTGGAGATGTAATTAGTTAAGATTAGATCATACTGGGCTTCCCACGTGGCACAGTGGTTGAGAGTCCGCCTGCTGATGCAGGGGACGTGGGTTCGTGCCCCGGTCCGGGAAGATCCCACATGCCACGGAGCGGCTGGTCCCGTGAGCCATGGCCGCTGAACCTGCGCGTCCGGAGCCTGTGCTCCGCAACGGGAGAGGCCACAACAGTGAGAGGCCCGCGTGCCACAGAAAAAAAAAAGATTAGATCATACTGAATAGGGTAGTCCCCTAATCCAGTATAACCGATGTCCTTCTAAAAAAGGGAAATTTGGACACGGCACACAGGAAGAACAAAGTGCATCACACAGTGAAGATGAAGACAGAGATCACAGTGATGTTTCTAACAAACATTCAAAAGGGCATACTGGAAAACAGAGGCACAAGCTCCGTGCGGCAGTACTGAGCATCATATTTGGACGTGAACAAGGTTTCGGGGTCAGTGTTTTCAGATGCTTCATTTTCCCTGCAGTTTCCAGCCACCTGCAGCTTGGTTCAGAGCGCTACTTGCCAAGCACACCTGCAAGTACTAGCAATAACCACCCATCTAGTATAATCACCATCTTCAGCATGCTAAGTACCAGCTCTGTGAAATCCAAGCGCTTCCCAGGTGCCCCTCACAGCAATCCTGCGGGGCAGACAGGTGATTCCCTGCATCACAGAGGACCCAGCCAGATCGTGTCAGGTCGTCATTTGTGGTCCCTGTTTAATGACTCGCTTTGTCCCACTTCCACCTTCCCTAAGTCACGTCCACAAGTGGCCCAATGGCTTAGAACGGAACTGGCTACGTCACTGTCAGCTATACGAATATTATACAATCATCCAGCATTTAGGACCCTTAGTACAATTTTACACACTACAGGATACTAAGCTTTCAGATGAAGGAACTATAGTCCCCGGGAAAGAGAAAGTGACTTGTTCTTAGAGTTAAGACATGGAAGAGGCAGGCTGAAATCTGGTCTGTCTTCTCACTCCACATCCAGTAATCTTTATGGAGGTAAAATCTAAGTTCCCGCATGTGCAGAGGCAGAAACTTTTTTTCCCCCTCAGTCAACTGGGAGAAGAGGAACTGGATGTGACATACTGGGATCTGAAGTTTTCGTTTGGAAATTATTTTCATTACAAAAGTTCCAGTTCATCTGCATTTTTATTCCTATATTAAAAAATCAAATGAAGTCATTAGGCTTAGGCCAGCTCACAAAGCCCCTCGCCTGAGCGTGCATCCCTCTGGCAACCTCTAGAGCTCTACTCTAATCCTTCAAATTATTAAATAATTACTGTGTTTCCCTTGGGGTCGCGTTTGGCAACAAAATACTGGCCTAAATGAACCAGTGATGTGACCCAGTGAATAACACTTATGTTCTTAACTTCTTAGAAGCAAAAGGATACGAAATACTTCCGAGGTACAAACTGGGAGGAAAGTGAAGGGTTTTCTGTGGGGTGTGGAGGGTGAGGGGAGCAGGATGACAAAGGAACATGAGAATCTGGGAATTATTCCAATAATGAGGGTCATCCCCTCCCCCATCAACCCTGCACATCAGTAAGTCTCCACTCCAAACCCAGTTTTCTCCCATTTCAGGAGTGGTTACGGCCACAAGGAGAAAACCAAGCATATGGCTCTGCCCTTCTGGACATTTCTACAATGCTGGCTGGGCTGCTTTGGAAAATCCCATGTTATCTCCTACAGCTATATGACCTCAAGTTGTCATTTCCAATAAAGTATGCTTCCACTGATTTTTATGAACATAGACAAAAGCTGCTACAACCTTTTTTGCCCCCAAATCTTTCAAGCCAACTGTAGTTGCTATGTAGGGTTATTTGTTTCTAAGGCAACAGCCCATATCTAAGTACTAATGGCCTGTCCTTTTGCCAGGCAACAAACAGCCTTGTGATGCAACTGCACCTGTCTCGGCTACGTGTTACTATGGAGATGCTGCAGTTGCTATGGCTACCATCACGCTAATCGCCTAGCGAAGGCAGACATACAGCAGTCTTCTCAGAGAGCCCAGCTGTTCCTCCCCGTCTCTTGCTGAAGACTGATTGTCTAAGGCCTGTGATGGAATGCTTCTCAACTGAGATGTACAAGAACTTCATTAATGCTGTTTCAGAGGATCACTTTGTGCTCCCTTCTGCAGAACAAACACCAGACTAGGGAAAGAATCTGCAATGACACAGACTGTGAAACTACCGACATCTATGAATTCACGCCTTTCCTCACTGACGTAAACTTGTAGTCCAAGGATCATTCTCTTAACTGACTGGTAACAATAGAAACATCTCTATACATTAAAGAAAAAAACCCTTTTTTTTGTAGAGTTGAGGGATAGATTTCAAACCCAAACACTATGCAAGAGAAAATCAATTTTAAAAATTGGTTCTGTTTTATAGGGCTATTTTTTTAGCCTAAATACTAAAAATAGTAACCTATTTTTTTGAGTGACAGGTTGCATATCCTCCCCTCCAATTCTATCTCTGTAAAAATGGCACCCGTGACCTCACTGTCTCAAAACAAATGGGCATGTGACGGGCAATCCTAGTCTCTACTGTTCTTTGCTGTTTTCCTTGAAGAGGCAAACACCAAGTAACCACAACGAAACGATCACTCTGGAGCACCGTCTACATGGAGACGGGGAGCGGCAACAACTCTGTGCATCCTTCAGTGAAACACCTGCAGACACTCTGGCTTGGAGGATGGGAAGTTGGAATCGCTTACCCGACGCGCTCCTGGACTCTCATCCCTGCAAACGGCCACACTCTGAGATGTTAAAGCTGACAGCTTTCCTTTGTAAATGTTTCTACCCAGGAAGACATTATTTCACCCACCATGAAGCCTTCTGGAAGGAGACACATTCGTCCCAAGCAGCAGAAGCGGTAAGGTTTGCCGAAAAAACACTTGGATATGCCTCCAAGAATACTTAACTTCTTTCTCATTTATCTACAGTTATTTTTCAAATCATACAGCCTATTAAATTAGTTTCAGTGCCTGTCTCTGCCAAAATAATGCAACTTCAGTAGACAACAAACAAACCAACCCCAAAACAAAAAAGGTCTGAATGGCTTACCTTTGATATGCCTGAGGAGAGGCGGGAGGTGTATTGAACACATTCGAGTGTGGGTGATAAGGTGTCTTTTTCAAAGCCTGAATTAGATTTTGTCTATACTCTGGGTCTATGCACCACAATGACCCTTTCCCGATACTCTGCAAAGAACAATAAAATACAACAGTGATTAATATAGAGACAGTACCTACTGTGCAGTAAGTAGATGTGTAACTCTCATCATAGTTACTTATTTTGAAAAGCCTCTCACTTCTTTGTTAACTGTCTGCCAGCCTTAACTACTGTACTATTGTCCTCTGACAACAGAACACCAGGCAATGCGTTTCTGTGTATACACATTAAGTTTAACAAAATGAATATGTTATTTCCAGGTGATGTTGCTACAATAATATTGTAATTTTCATATCCTACTGACCAAAACCCTCAGTTCCCTTATGATTTTTCAGTGTCAACTTTGAAAAACATATGCATCCCCTTTAAAAAGTGAGTTTTAAATTTGTCAGGTATCAAGGGTTGAGAGAAAAAGAGGGCAGAGACACCCTCAAAACTCTGTCTCTGCTTTAAAAATTCGAGGGTTATGTTTTCCAACCCTATTACATCGGTGCCACTTTACAAAAACAGAAAAGTAATCCCCTTGTTTTTTCCTGCTTAACAAAAGAATGACATTATTTAAGCTTCCAATGGAATTCTGTAATGACCTTCCCAAAGAAACAAAAGAACTCAGGCAGCAGTGGTAAACCTTAGCCAGAATCCAGTACTTATTTTTTCATATCCTCCATTCTGGATTTTGCTCCAGACCTGAATCTTCAGAAGTCAGAAACTTTTAAAATACAAATTTTAACAAACTGGTTCCAGGGAAAGAGGGAGACTTGCTCGGAGGCCCACTTTCAGCTGGACGCTTTCGTTCTGGGCACGCAGCATTTTATAAAACACATGCAAGATCTGCCTCTGAGGCCCGCTGGATCTGGCGGCAGGCTGATATGATGGGCAGTCACTGTTCTGACTGCTCGCTTTCAAGTGACCGAATGTACCCAAGCTGCTTGATAAGGTCATTTGTAAACATTTACTGATTTGGAGAGAAAAGAAGTCAAATTATATAAACCCACACCCACCCCATGCTTCCAGCCAACGACTCTCTAATTTTCACAACTATTATACTACAGAAAGATTTAGAAAGCAAACAAGAAAATCATTTAACTATTATGCAGGGGGCAAAGTCCAAGAAAATCCCCTAGAAGGAGAACTAAAAAAAATAAAAATAAATAAAATAAATAATAAATAAAAAATTATTCCTAAAATCTTTAAAGTTTTAAAAATTTGTATTTCAGTCATCAGTTTACTTACATACTTATTCACAGAACCCCTTAAAATTCTTTACTATCAACACCACCAGCGCACTCAGCACAGGGAACTGCGCGAAGCCAAGATCCGGGGCTAGAGCCTCTGCTCCCCCTCCCCCACTGCTCCCCCCACCCGCCCCGCAAGTGCAGGCCTGACCCCAAACACAGTCCCAGTCAGGCCAACCTGCCTGGGCTAAACACCAAAGCTCCCAGTTTAACCACCCGGATGTTTAAAGAAATGAAACATTTCAATTTTAGAAAACTCAACACCCTTACGTGGTCTTTCCTTCCACGCATACATTTTCAAGCCCAGAAGGGGGACTAATGACACTTTCCGGGTAAAGCAGGCAGGCCATCAATGATCAGCCCTGGACCTTCCATTCTGTCCTTTGGAAAAAAGCTGTGTGGCACACTTTTTAGAAGAAAACAAAAGCCAAGATGCTGAGAGGCGTGGAGGAAGACCAGTGACTACCAGATCTGGATAACGTAAAGCAAACCACAAAAGCCAGTCACCTCCTGGGCAGCAGGGGTCCTGGCCTGAGTCCATCAAAGGCTCCCTGTCGAGCCCTGTGCCAGTGGGACTCCCTTTCCAATCCCCTTGAAGACAAGGCTCCCAACTAGCTAGCTGGAGGGCCGGGGCCCATGTGCAACCCACACGTTTCTGCAATGAGATCACCCTGGTTCTGGGAACCACACGGGGCTTCTGTTTTCATCAAGGTGGCTTTCAGGGTAGGGCCGTTTAATCTTACAGGGAATAAAAATATGACAAACAAATGAAGGGAAATAACAATAAGCCGAGAAGGCGGCTTCTCCTAATCCTTAGCACCTTGTTTATTACACTATGCTACTAGTTACCAGAGAAAAAGGGGGAAACCCCGCAGGATTGGGGTGCGGGGAGGATCGCAAGGTAGGTGATCCAGGTACAAGAGGCAGGCCGAGCTACAGTAAGAACGGGAGTTCTAAAGCCAGACAGATGTTTCCTGTGTGGCCTGGGGCAAATCAGGGTCCCCTAGAAAGTCCAGGCTTCCTCAGTGGCAAAATAAAGACCCCCTTAGAGACAGGTGTGCAGTCCAGCATGACAGGAAACACCTAGAACAGTGGAGAACGTACAGGCATTCGATAAATGGCGGAGGGCGGAGGGGACTACGAACAGGTCCTTTTGGACAGAAGAAAGAAGGCAAAGCTGGCTGCACCATGCTTTCCACATCCGATTCTCCCATCATGAAAGAATCACCAAATTCCAACAGAGGCAGTGGGTGGGGCCCCCGGCAAGCAGACCTTCCACGTGAGGACTAAGTATTAATCTCCTGGAGCGCCACTGGCCCCGGCTCAGCAAGTGTGCTCTGGACAGCTTCGCTACTCTCTAAGATGCCCCACTTTATTTCCACCCCACCCCCCCATCACCCTTCTATGAACCCCTCACTCCACGTTACTTCTCCCTTGCTCAGGAAGCCAATTCTGACTTCCCTACTAGAAGTTTTCTTTTGCTCGGGTCTTCGCACAGTGATCACCAAGCTAAGGTTTAATTCCACACTTGGTCAGCACACATTCACAGTACCTTCACTGCAGGCAATGTGCCTGAGCTTGGGATCATCACGGTTCCTACCTTGATCAGTTCTGCATTTTACGGTGAGCGTGGTCTGGAACTGTGATAGATTTTCACAGACCAAACACTAATTTCAGTATCTCACACTCAGAATTTCCAGAGAGAAAAAAAATAAGCCAAAAGGGCATCTTCAGGACACACCTATGGGGACACTGGAGATCCCTCAAATCCCTCCAATGATTTTCCAGTGGAGAGCTCCAGGCAGAGCTTGGAAGGAGCATGAAAGAGGCTGGCGCCGCATCTTATTTGCAAGCATTCTCGTTGGTTTCATGTAACAGTTCAGAATAGTAAGAAGGTTGACTTGAAAACTTTTAAAATGGAACTATGCAGAGCAGAGAATGCTCAAGTTTATTCGGCCAGGAAAAATTACATTTAATGCCCATAACAGGGGAGAAAAGGGTGTAATTTGATTAGAGTTGTGTAATAAGTTTGAGGGTCAGAGCTTTTAGAATTATCTGCATCTCATCTAAAGAATATGGATTTCTTTTGTTGAACCATAACTGTGAGGCTCATGTACCATTAAATGTTAGGGAATTCAAGATAATAAGGGAAGAAAGATTTCTATTCGTAGACACATTTTCATCTTTGAAAAATAGTTATATATATTTATATAGGTAATATATTTTTATAAAATATATAAATATACATATTTTCTATATTTATAAATATATAATATATAAAATGCATATTTATAAATACGTTTTTATATATTTTTTATATATATATATTTAAGACAAAAACATGTCTGTGAAGGAAGGGAGAGGTGAAGGAAGATCTTTCTTACATGAGCACGGGTGTGTGCGCACACACACACAGAGTTTGAGAAAACTAATGTGAAAAGGAAAGAGGAGTAAAAACATACAGATGAAGCCAAGTTGTTGTTGTTTTAATTAAAAAGCACCTGGGGAATAACAGACAATTCCTTGTTAGCAATAAAAATATCAGTATATAGCACGAAAAAAAGACCAGGAGAACCTATATTATAGAAAGAACTGATTAGTGAGAAGGGTTTTTAAAAAAGAGAGAGATAAGAATAGCAACTAAATTAAATCTTAAATCTAACTTCTAAGGATAACTTGTTTTTCCCTGAGAGGTCTGGATCCAGGGGCATCCCTGGCAGGCCATGAATTTCTCCCTGTTCCCGGAACTCTGCAGACCCACATGGTAGCACTGGCCAGTCTGCCGAACATCGGGCCTTCACTGCGGGTCTCTTCGCTAGGTTGTCCCTGAGGATAAACCGTATTTTAAAACATTGTTTACAAAATGTGGCCCATGATACATTAATGGGGCACGCAGTCAATGTAATGGGTCACAACCAGCACTGCCTTCATGGAAAGGACTAGAACCAAATAGAACAGCTTAGAAAGCATCCGTACTAAAGTAATATTCTGTGAAATGTGTGTGTGAGTACACCTGCGTGTTGGTGCACAGTGGATCACAAAGTAACATACACTTCTTACTGGGGATCTGGGTCCAAAACGGGTAGTAAACACTCTTCTAGAGCAATGGTTTCCATTTTCTTCCTTCTTGTCACTTCTGAAGGATAAAGCCCTTTCCCAGCTGTAACGGAGGACTCCCTCAATGTGACCCCCAATTCACAGGGGAGGGACCATGCTTGGGGATGGGGGTTAATGAGGCAGGACTCATGGCAAAATGGAGCAGGGAGCTGGATACGTGTTTCTGGTGACTCTGAAACAATGCCCCCACTTTTTTTTTAACTCTTTATTTTGTACTGGAGTATAATGATTAACAATGCTGTGTTAGTTTCAGGTGTACAGCAAAGTGACTCAGTTATACATATACATGTATCTATTCTTTTGCAAATTCTTTTCCCATTTAGGTTGTTACATAATATTGAGCAGAGTTCCCTGTGCCGTACACTAGGTCCTTGTTGGTTATCCATTTTAAATATAGCAGCGGTGTGCACACGTCAATTCCAAACAATCCCTTTTGATGCTTCTGATATGCCATTTCCACGGATGTTTCCAACACCACCCACCCTCTTCCGTTCCCTCACCCATATGGTACCCACTGTATGCCAGGCACCATGGGGGTACATTAGTGAATACAGAACAATACAATAAGGCAACTGCTCTCTTGAAGCTTGGATTCTGGAGGGGGAAGAAGACGGTAAGTAAGTCAAGAAATAAATAAGCAAGATTATGACAGACTGTACCGCCTGCTGTGAAGGAAA